TCATCATCAGGTGCCAGAAAGCGGGGTCCTCCTCGGGTTCGCCCCTAGCGCACAGGGGGGTGGTGAGACCCGTGGGGCTATAGCGGGGCACGACAGCGGGGCTGAAGCCGCCACTGCGTGCCAGGCCTGTATCAACGTCCCCGTCAAGGATCTGCTGCACCACGGTCGAGGCCACGCTGGGAGTGGATTTCGATGCATGTGTCGTAGTTGACAAGGGCGTGTATGCGCTCACGATGGCGCCCAGCGGTCCGTTGCCGCACGGACCCGCGGCTACGGTGCTGTTCACGATCGGGTCCAAAATGGTGCAGTGATCGTACTTGTAGACGCTGTCATCGTAGAGGTAGAAAAGGGTCCCACGTTCAGCGTGTCGCAGGAAAACCTCACCTCCATGCTGGGGCGCACCGCCTGAAGACGGGTGTGCTCCAGCGAGCGAGGGGAGGGCCAGGCTGCAGGCACGGCGCCACATGATGGCGAGGCCTGGCGGGCGGCGCGAGCGATGAGCCAAAAGCTGCATGTCAGCACGCATCCTCAGATACCCCTGCATGCTCATGTACATTGCAACAAACACACCCACAGCAAGATGACAGGTGTCCCTACACCAGATAGCTTGCTCGTGCTGCTGCCAAAACTGCCATGATATGACAAGAAGGAGATACGACGCGAAGAGAGAAGAGATGCCTCTGAAGGCGCTTCCTCGGAGGGCTGAGGCAGGCTCTCTGAGGCACCTTCAATAGGGTTCCTGAGTGGCCCGACCCTTGTCTTTGCCTTTGTCAGCCCCTGGGGGCCCCGTCCCTGGGGTGACCTGGCCTGGCTGGTCAATACACCCGCAGACAGCCACGGGATCGGCAACTGATGCAGCTTCCTCCTTTTTTGTTTCGAGAGTGGCCACCTGTGGCAGGTGGATGGTGCCCCCCGTGAGGTGCCCGAGGAGGGCCTGGATGTCGCCACGCAGTGCAGCAGCTTCGGTGGATGCCGTCTGTTGCTGGGTGACGACGGTGGCAAGCCCTCGTTCCAAACCTGAAACGTGCTCCGTGAGTGTGGCCTGGGATGAGAGAACGCCCGCAAGCTGAACCTGCATGTTATCCACCGTGTTGGCAAGCAGCTCGTGCTGTTGTTCCATGAGTTGGATGCGGGTCGTGGCGGCATCTGACAGTTTAGGGGCCGTTGCGAAGCGTTCGCCGAGGGTGTTCAGTTCGCGAGATGCCACGCTGAATTCATCCCCTGATGAGAGGATCTCGACGTCGTCAGCGTCGCCTGGTATCTCGGCGGCTGTGGCAGCGTCCCCTTCCGTGTGGCCCCCGCCTTCAGCCGCCACCGTGCCAAGTTTCGGGTCATGACCACCTGGTCCTTGGACGGCCGTCTGCTCGGCAGCTCCATCCGTGCCGTGCGGGGGTGCAGAGGAGCTGCGGCCTGGGGCGCCGTGTGATCTTGCGTGCGGCGTGGCGTCGCGTTTCCCACTGGAGGATCGGTGGCGCTTGTCTAAAGGCTCCTCCTTGGGGATCAGGAGCGGTGCGACGCCCTTGCCTTTGGGCGTGGCAGTCATGAGGTCGTGGAGGTAAGGGCTCTGGGCCGCTTTGGTTAGGAGTGTGCCCGTGGCGGGGCTGAAGCCGCCACCACGGGCTGGCGGCGTCACAGGCTCTGTGATAGTGTAGGGGTGACAATGGTAACGTTGTCCCTCTTCGGCACCACCTCAGCCAACGGGGCCTCGGTGATGCTCCACGGGATGGGGCACCCTGCGACCTGTACCGTGTATGTGGGTGGGGGACGATGGGCGCGCACTAAGGCAAACTGAGCCGAAGTGGCTGGGTCCCAGGCGGTGTGGTAGACCTCACAGTCCCATTTGACGGACGGGCCCGTGAGAGTCTTAGCGAGCTGGGTCAGCGTGGCGTGGCGTGCCGCAATGCCAGTGAAGCGGTATCGCGTCTTGGCGAGGGTGGCTTCGCAGCCACGGATGCTGACGGCAGCAGCCTTGGCGGCGTCTGACCCTCGTGCAACACGGATCCCCAATAAGCCGGACTTGCCGTGCCTGACGACTCCTAGGGCCTTGAAGTCCACCGACTTCTGGAACGCATCTGCCATCGTGATGGGCTGGTCCTCAGGGAACCACACGGTCTGGTACTTGTCTGCAGTGGGCTCGTCTGCACCTACGTTGTTGAGGTCGTAGGTGGCGCCGAGTTGCCCTGAACCCGCCAAGACCTTGTCAACCGCTTGAAGACTGACGCCGAAGGTGGCAGCCAGGGACCTCTTTCCGACGCCCGATCCATACCTGCCTAGGCTTTTGCAGGGTTCGAGGATGGTGACGGCTTTAAAGTTGCCGTGGAAGAGGGCCTTGAAGGTGTCCTGGAGCTGACTATCGAGCTCCTGACGGCGAGCGTCTTTCTTGGACTCCCTGTGCTTTTGGTTTTGGCGCGCCTTGTCCTGTGGAGCGGAGTCCCTTCGGAAAGGACCCTTGGCGCGTGGACCACCGTTCACGGGGGCACCTCCCGAGAACTGGTCCTCGAAGGCCTGATGCATGGACGGGACTGCGGCGATGGCCTCGGTTTCATGTATGGTCACCCGAATCCAGCATACGTGGTCGGCAGGGTCGATGGTGGCGACGGCTACTTTTTCCGTGCAGGCGACTTCCTTGGTGCCCAGCTGGTACACGGTCACGGGGACGTGCGTGTGGACCACTTTGGGCGCCTTGGGGTGACGCTTCAGCACGGGGACGGCGAGCTCGGTACCGACGTAGTTATCGTTTTTTGGGCCCATGACAGCAATCGCAAGCTGACCCGTGGTACGCTTACCCTGCACGAGGTGGTGTTGCAGCAGCCGTTCTCCGCTCTCGTAGTCGTGGAGGCTGATACTGGGCTTGTACGTCTTGCCGTCGTCAAGTGATGTGGGTTCGGCGAGGACTGGGACCTTCCAGAAGGCCGGGTCCAAGGCAATGAATTGGGCGTCCGCAGCCTGAAGACGTGCGGACGCAGCTGGTGGGTGTGATGTGTCACCACCAATGCGCTTAGGCTTGCTGCGCTGGTGGTGATCCAGCGTGTAGCTGATCTGGTTGGCGGCACACATGCGGATCAAGGCACTGCCGAGCTTCTTTGTGTTGGTCTTGTGCATGTCGTACGTGGCCTGAAGCTCGTCCGCGTTCAGCTCGGCAAGCCCGTTGTATGCGGCCGTGGGGCGGTCGGACCCCGCTTGCTTGAAAGCTGCGATGCAGTCCTGCTTGCGTTGGAGGAGAGACCCTTCGGCAGCAGGACGTGAGCTCGGCGGCTGCTTGGAAGAGCGCCGGCGCTCCGGCTTACCGGGGGCCATTGCGGCGGGCGCTCTGGTGGGGAGAGAGGTGACGCGAATCAGTAGGGTCCTGCTGGGACCCCTCCGGTCTCGCGAGGCCTGGGAGTCTGACTCCGAGGCGGGGCGCTTCGCGTCGCGGCTGCGGTCTGAGTGCAGGGCACTCTCGAGCCGAGACTGCAGAAGAGAAGAGAAGAGAGAGAGCGAGAGAGAGAGAGAGGGAGAGAGAGAGAGAGAGGAGGGAGAGAGAGAGAAAGAGAGAGAGAGAGAGAGAGAGAGAGAGAGAGAGAGAGAGAGAGAGAGAGAGAGAGAGAGAGAGAGAGAGAGAGAGAGAAAGAAACAAAAAAAACAGAGAGAGCTTCTGGCAGACAGAGCCCCAATACGACCCCGAAAATAATTGCCGAGGACCTCCCTGGGCCCGCCGGGGGCCGCGGGCTCTGGGGGTGGCCCTGGGCCCTGGGCCCGGAGGGGGCCCGGGCGCAGCCGAACCGGGCCCTGGACCTGATTTCGAGCTTGTGCCCAGGTGCAGTGCCGAGGTCTGGTGCCAATGCGCTCAGGCACATGTAAATTTGAATGTATGTATGTATGTCTGTGTGTGCATGTATGTATGAATGTATGTATGTATGTATGCATGTGTATGTATGTATGACCTTGTCACAAGTTCCAGCCAGATGGCTCCGCCTCGGCCTCTTCTCCTGCCCCCCCCCGGCCTGCCCCCTCCTCCTCCTCCTCCTCCTCCGACTCGCCCCAGGCATCCTGAGGCGTCCTGCCATTATTTCGAGGTTCTCAGGCTCGAGGGCGCTCGGCTATTGCGCTGCAACACTTTCTCGCAGCAGCTTGCTTCGGCGCTCCAGCCCAGCGCCGCGCAGCCGTCGCGCCCGCCAGCAGGATGCCCGCCGCCGCCGCCAAATCCAAGCCCACCGCGCCCAGCAAGCGGCCTGGCGGCCCCGGCGACGCCTCCGAGACGCCCGGTCGCACCCGCCGCCGCCTCGCTAAGAAGACGCCGAGCGACGCCTGGTCGCCGAAGGCTTCTGACCTGGAGACTGGCTCGGCAGATGGCGAGCCCGGGCGCGGCGCCGCGGCGAGCGCCGTTGGAGCTCGACCCCGACCCCCCCACCCCTCCACCCAATCCAATCGCCCGAGGAGGAGAGCGGGCGCGGAGGAGAAGGCGTAGGGATCTGAAAGAAAGGAGAGGTGACCAGGATGCGGACGCGGAGGAGTAGGAGGAGGCAGGAGAAGGGGGACAGGCAGGGGAGTGGAGGAGGAGGAGGAGGAGGAGGAGGAGGAGGAGGAGGAGGAGAGGAGGAGGATATGTCGCCCCCGCGCTTGCCCCGCAGGAGTCTTGGCCAACATGGGCGAACGCTTGGCAGTCGACCACCACGTGGAGCTCGCCGCGAGGATCCTCTGGGGGAATGACATGACGCTGGAGGAGCGCTTCGGGCCACAGACGCGGGTCGCCATGCTGAGGATCCTGCGGAAGCACTACCGGGTGCCCAGGGGCATGGCGACAATGAAACAAGAGTGCCGCCGCCCTGCATGCGCGCGTGCTCGACCCTCCAGTTCCCCAATGCCTCTTTGGGCCCTTCGGGCCTCTGGGCTCTTCGCCGGCCCTTCTCTCGCCTCGCCTCCTCGTCCTGCCTGCTGCCGCCGCCGCTGCCGCTGCCGCGGCCCAGGCGGGCACCGGCACGACGCGCCCGTGGTTCTGGGCCCCGCCCGGCGCCGCTGAGGAGCAGCGCGCCATTGTCAAGCACGACTGCAATCATCGGAACATGAGGCAGAATGTCTCCAGGTACGCCAAGAGCTTCGCCAAGTCGGGATTGATTCCAGGAGTCGGGGGCAGCCCCTGGTTCCAGTGGTCAGCGGACGACAGGCAGGAACGATCCCTGCCACTTCGAGCGTTCACTTGGGGGCATCGCACAGACGCAGCATACCTCGCTTTCGTGAAGTATTCCAAATCGGAGGCCGTCCAGGACTTGCTGCGGACTGGTCTCGAGGACGTGGATGAATACCACGAGCGGATGCCTGACGTGGCGATCCATTTCCTCAAGAACGAGCACAATGAGCACCACAATGGCGGGCCCCAAAACATGAAATCCCCAAACCCTCAAACCGTAACTCCAAACCTCCAAGCCTAAACTTAAAGCGTGGTCTCAGCTTCTCAGCTCTCTAGTGGTGCCGCCGTTTGTTTCTAACCGCGGGGGGGGGATCGGCGGTCGACGAGCGGGGGGGCCGCCCGGGTCGTGGACGCCCGCCCCTTAGCCCCCCCCTTAGCCTCCCCCTCTTGTTTCAGCATCCGCCCAGGCACTGGAGTTACCTTCAAGGACATGCTGGACCAGGCCGCGGCGATGATCTCAGAGTGGCACGACGCCAAGGACAGCCTCGGCGTCAGTTCCAGGAATTCGGACTACCAGAAGCAGTGGTACGACTGGATCACCAAGCACGACACGTACAAGTTCGTGTACGCATCGCCCCAGGAGTTCACGGACTCAAAGGAGATCTGGAGTGCGCTCAAGAGTTTTGACCTCTGGGGCGATCTCGAGCCATGGCTCGGAGAGGTCGTCGACTTCATGAACCCGACTCTCGTCCACAAGAACGTCATTGCAGTGTGGAAGTCGATCACCTACATGCTCATACACCACTTCAAGAATAATGTCCCGACAGAGTGGATCCGCCTCGCCATCAAGATTGCCCTCGCGTGGACAGTGCCGAAGGCGAAGGACGACGATGATGACGTCGCTACCGCCGCCGTCGACGATGACGCCGCGCTGTGGATTCTCAAGACGAGCGCTGAGACCGAGGCGAAGATCAAGTGGCTGTTGACCCCCGTCGCGAACACGAAGGCTTTCGCCAAGGCGCAGGCCACAGCTCACAAGGATGCCGCCAGGTTCGAGAGTGCCATGAAGAAGTGGGAGGAGGAGGAGGTCAGGCGCAAGGAGAAGGAGCAGGAGGCCGAGGAGATCGGGGACCCGAAGAAGAGGAGGGCAGCGCTGGCCAAAATCGCTGCGAAGGCAAAGGCCAGGCCCGCGAGGCCACCAGCATCGACTTGGAAAGAGACGGTGTTCCACCATCAGAAAAAGGGAGAGCGGCCTTGCAGTATCTTCGAGGACCATTGCTACCGGATCGATGACACCCTGGCTCACGGAGGTGGGCCTTCTTTGCCACAGGCGCACGTTTCGATGGTGAAAGAGCTGACCCTCAGGCAGTTCATGTCGTTTGTTTGGCTGAAGCGCACCACGTACAGAGGGGTGGACTACGAGACATTCAGCAAGCTCAGGCCCGAGTTGACCGCCATCGTGACGAGGGCGACCCAGCTGATGCCGAACGTCGGCCCTGCTGCCGCCGCATCGTCCTCGTCAACGGGGCCGATGTTGACTCCGGCTGAGTTCTCGAAGAAGCTGATGGCTGCCGTTCACCCCCAGCAGCATGGGGCCGGTGAAGCCGCGGGCGAAGCCCCGCCGGGCGAGGAGGAGATGGGCGACCGTGACGAGGCCACCACCAGTGCGCCGACAGGCGTTGCGGCCGAGTCTGGAGACCCCCTCGCCGTCTTGCTGAAGTCGGAGCATCGCGTTGGATGCCTCAAGGAGATCAAGATCTTTATCGAAGCAAACCTTGTGCCGAAGATCCCGATGACCATGCACATGCCCTTCGCGACGCTCGGCCAAGCGGTGCTTTCGCAGGTGCGCGATCGCCAACGAGCTGGCGGCGCGGTGAGTCAGGATTTCCTGGTTGGCGCCCTTGCTGATGGTCTGGCAACTGCCCTGCCCTTCGAGAACTTCGCTACCCTGGCAGAGGTGGGTGCGATCTTCGACTCGATCGGCAAGATGCCCCAGGCCATCGTGGACCTCTCTGGGGACTCGGCGGAGCTGGCCGAGTACACAGCGCTGCGGGTCAAGTATGTCCTCGAGGTTGCCAGGCCGGGATTGGGGTTGTTGGGGCACCTTGCCTCTTCTCGTCCTCGCCCTCCCCCTTGTCGTCCTCCTCCTCTCCTCCACCTTCTCCTCCTCTTCTCCTCCTGCTCACCCCGCCTCCAACTGCTCCGCTTCCTCCTTTCTTATCGTATTCTATTCCCCCATCGCCCTCCCCTTCCCTCTCTCGCCCCTTTCCCCTCCGCGTCCCGTGAGGACGTTCCACGCGAGTTTCGGCGCCAGCTGGTGCATGGAGCTCGCAGACTGGGCGGGCGGCTCCCAGGGCGCGATGGACCTCTTGATCGCGACTGAAGTGCTTGCGCCGACCAGGACGCACTGGAAGGCCCTATGGACTGACATGCTCCAGCGCGCATACATCACCAACGAGAAGCGCTGGAACTTCAAGGTCGCCGCCGACGCCGCGGGGAGCGCCCTCCTGAGGCTCAGTATCGTTTAACTGATCCCTGCCCCCACCCCCACCCTCATCTCGAGCCCCGCCGTCTTACCACTTCAGTTGGGGATATGCCCCTCGAAGCCCGAAGAGAGCAGCCTATATCCTCATCACAGGGGGGTAAATCGGCCAGCGGGGCCCAGCCCAAGCCGGCGGGGATCGGGGATCGGTTAGACGATGCTCAGAGGCAGCTGCAGGCGTCCAAGGGAGAGGCCGCCAAGAAGGCCGCCGGCGTCAAGCAGGAGCATTCGGACTCGCAGTCACCGTCCGCTTCCAAGGCCACGCTTCGCAAAAACGTCCTAACCGTGCCTCCTCGCCTTTCTGTGCTCGCCCCCCCCCTCCCTCGCCCCCCGCCCCGCCCGTCTTCTCCTTCCCCGCCGGCGCGCGCGCCCGTCGGGCTGGCGGCAGCCCGGCAGCGGCGCAGCAGCTTGCCCTGGCGGTCCAGGACCAGACGCCGGCCGCGGCAGCCGCCGTGCCTGTGGGCGAGGATCAGCAGGGATCCGGGAATGCCGAAGAGGGGTGGGAGGGCGAATGGAGGGCAGGGATTGCGCATCAAGTCGCTCCGTGGGCAACGCCCCCGTCGCTCGCCCTCCTGCTCCTCCCGCGGCATTCCCGAGGATCCCCAGGAGCTGACTTTCCGTTCTCTCCTTGCCACGGCGGGCGGTTTCGAGAACGCTTGCCGACTCAGGGAGGCCAAGGTGTTCTTCCAAGACGTCTTGAACAAAGTGCACGCCAAGTCTATGGCAGGGGGGTCGGAGTAGAAAATCAGGGGGAAAAATCACAGACTCGATTGACCGTCGAGACCCAGGATGGGAAACAAAGGGGAGTGGGGGGGGGATGGGCGAAACCCAGGAACTATAGGAAAATATCGGGTATCCTGGTAATTGTGCGTCTATTTCAGACAAGGCGTTCAATCTATTCTTCCCCCCGCGCTGCCCCCGATCTCTCCCGCGTTCCGCGGGGGGGGTCTGCCCTCCCTCCTCGACTCGACTCCGCGACTACTCGATTCCGATCTCTCGACCTTCGCTCTCGACCTCCATCGATCCCTCCATTCCGATCTTTCGACCCCCTCGATCTTTCCGATGGCGCGGGGGGGGGGATGGACCTGCGCTTCCCGAAGCACGTCGCCGGCCTGGACTTCATCCCCGAGGTCAGTGAGGACAAGAAGGCCAAGGTGAGCATCATGGCTAGGAAAATATCGGTCGACCATAAGCTGATCTTCGCCGGCCAGGTGTCGACCGAGCTGCCCGCCGCCAAGGGGCAGACTTCATACCAGCTCGCGACGTGGAACGACACCGTTTTTTTTGTGCATGGTCAGCCACTCCCCTTCCTTCCCCTTTTGATCCTTGGCCCCTCAACTCCCCGCCTCCCCGCCTCACTCCAGGTCAGGGGTACGACACGCTCAGCGGCGGCGACGCCGTGATCCCCGCCTACCTCGTGACCCCAGTGAAGGACGAGGACGCCGACCTTTCGGTGAACTCCTTGCAGGTGAAGGCGCCGAGGAGAGGAGTGAGGCTCTCGGAGTGAGGAGCGACGGCGACGACGGCGAGGAAGAACCTCTGGAATCATGAAGGAGGCAAGGGTCTGGGGCTCAGGGGTCGGTCTGCCCAGGTGTACTACCGCCCGAACGACGACTGGGACGCCCAGCGCTGGTTCATGAATCGACCGGGGGACGAGGGCGAGGAGGGGGGCAACGAAACGGCGGTGGTTCGCATAGGGGATCGACTACATAATTGTTTTATTGATTTGTACCAAACTTAGTATCTAGTTATCTAGTCTCTACGAGCAATACGCAAAATGCTCCGTAAGTCTGATGGGTATTCTAGAATTCTACGTAGATTCGACAGGCGAATAATTTCTGGGGTTAGTCAATTTGATCAGTTATGAGTCGATCCCCTGTTCGATAGGTGGCGGCGCCGCTGGCGGGGGGAGGCGGCCCCGCGGCCTCGGCGGCGGCGGGCGCCAACCAGCTCGGCGAGCCGCCAGCGGCGCCGGCGCTGGCGGCGGCCCCAGCCCAGGCGCCTGCGCAGGAGGAGCCGGAGGTCGAGGTCACCGGGGTCAAGGAGCGAGTCGAGGATACCATGGCCGAGCCCAGAAAACCAGCATGACAACTCTCCTCCCCAAACCTCCCCTCCTGTCCCCATCTATTCATAATCTATTCAGATGCCCGCCCACCCCTTCCGCACCTCCACCATCATTCCTCCCGTCGGCTTGCCGTCTCGCCCATCGCCCGCCCCTCGTTCCTCCTTCGACTCAGGAGGTGACCCTCACGATCTATTTCCTGATGGCGACGGCGCCGTGGGACGAGGATGAGCCCTGCAAGCTCACGCGCCCCAAGTCCCAGCCAGCCCCGTACGTCGGCGCGGCGGCTGCCACTGGCCAGCGGAAGCCGAACGCACTGAGCGGCATGCTGCAGGTGCCCCGGTGCCCCGACGTCTCTTCTTCTCATCCCCCTCCTCCTAGTCCCCCTCACCGTCGCCCTCATCCTCTCATTCTCCTCTTTCTCCTCCTCCTCCTCCTCCTCCTCCTCCCTCGCCTCCACTATTGCCCCCTCCTCCTCCTCCTCGTCCGTCTCCATCCCATTTCCCACTCCCCTCTCTGCGCTTCCTGCCCCCTCTCCCCCGAGGCGGCCACGCGCTGGGGCCAGGGCCGCGGCGTCGCCAAGGAGGAGGCCGAGGAGGGCCGCCGATCGCCGATCCAAAGGGGAGAGGGGAAGGGGCGAGGAACGAGGAATACGATGGAAGAAAAGGCACGAGGAGGAGAAGAGGAGAAGGACGGAAGGGAAGAGGACCCAGGGACCCAGGATGACGTGACTAGGGACGGGAGGGCGCGGAGGGCCCCCCCCGAGGGCGTCGAGGGCTCGAAGCGCACGCTGAAGCTCGACGACGCCATCGCCACCGATCCGGAGGAGATTTGGCACATCCTCAATTAGGGCCCGGCCCCGGCCAGAGATATGTACATAATATCAGATCTCTCTTCTCTCTTTCTCCATGCTGCCCCTTCTCTACTTCTCTACCCTTCTACAACTACTACTGCCGCGCTGCCGCGCCATCTGCCACTGCTGCCCGACCCTTCCACCCTTCCACTTCCACGCTCTCTCGCCTCTAACGAAGAACGGAATTGCGTGGGCCGCTGTGGCCCCTGTCGCCCCTGTCCGCGCACGCGCGTTGCGTGCGGGGCAATCGCGCGCCGGCCTCGCTCCCTGGCCGAGGCGCGCCTAGATCGCGTCGAGGGTGGGATGGGAGGGGGGAGTGGGGAGTGGCACTACTAGAGGGGATGAGGATGATGATGGTCGTGGTGGGGTCGGGAGGCCCAAGAGGAGGGCACGTTTTACTTTGGCGCGGCGCCTCGGCGCCATCGCGCGGGCGCCTGCTGCCCCCAGGCTGCCGCGCCGCGGCGGAGACGCGCGGCGGGGCTGCGTTCGAGAGGCGTTGCTCGGAGCACGCGCGTGCGCGTGTGCCTGAATATATATATATATATATATATATATATATACACATGTGCAGTCAACCCGCATGAGAGCGACGTGCGATACGGCTTTGGAAGGCCATGTCGGGCCATGTCGGCACACGCGTCGGCACTTTTCGAGCGGGGCGCGGCCAGCGAAAGCGGCCTGAGATGGGCTGAAGGGGGACGTTCGGAAGTGCCTAATCGTCATTGTGCGGGTTGACTGCAGGCACGCAGATAGAGCGAGCGAGAGAGCGAGAAAGGGTGAGAGAGTGAGCGAGAAACAGAAGTAAAGAGAGATAGAGAGAGATACAGATGCATTAGATATCTACATATATGTGTACATATGTGCGTGCCCTTTTATTTCTATATATCTCTCTATATGTCCCTCTTTGTCTTTATGTATTTGTTGTGTCTCCTCTCTCTCTCTCTCTCTTAGTTCTCTCTCTATATATCTCAATGATTTCCCTTTCTCGTTCCTCCCCCCTCTATGTGTATATGTATATGAATATATGAATGTATAGATATACATATATATATATATATATATATATATATATATATATGTACCCCACCTTCTCCGCCCCCCTGCGCTCTTCCCCTCTCCTCGCCTCTCTCTCTCTCTCTCTCTCTCTCTCTCCTCTCTCTCTTTCTCTCTCTTCTCTCTCTCTCTCATCGTCCCTCTCTCTCCTCTCTTTCTTTCTCTCTCTCTCTCTCTCTTTCTCTCTCTTCTCTCTCTCTCTCTCTCTCTCTCTCTCTCTATCCCTCTCTCTCCTCGCCTCTCTCTCTCTCTCTTTGTTTCATATTTGTTTCTTTCCCTCTCACTCTCCCTCTCCCCCGCTCTCGCTGCCGCCCCCCCTCTCTCCCACCCCCTCCCTCTCCCGCTCCCTCTTCTACCTCTGTTCCCTCTCCTTATACATGCCTTTCTTTCTCTCAATTCTCAATTTCTCTGTTTTTGTTTTTGCCCCCCCACCCCTTGATCCCGATCTACTTGTGCATGTGTATATGTAGCTCTCTCCTGTCTCTGTCTCGCCCTCTCCTCCTCCTCCCTCCTCTCTCTCCCTCTTCTCTCTCTCTCTCTCGACTCTCTGTCTCTTTATTTTTTCTCTTGCTCTCTCTCTCTCTCTCCTCTATGTGTATACGCCTCTTTCAAACATTTCTATGTTTTTATTGTTGCCATCTCTCTCTCTCTCTCTCGACTCTCTGTCTCTTTTTTTGTCTCTTGCGCTCTCCCTCTCTCTCTCTCTCCTCTCCTTCTCTCTCTCTCTCTCTCTCTTCTCTCTCTCTCTCTCTCCTCTTTCTCTATTGTGTAATATGCTCTTTCAAACATTTCTGCTTTTTTATTGTTTTCATCTCTCTCTCTCTCTCCTCTCTCTCTCTCTCTCTCTCTCTCTTCTCTCTCTCCTCTCTCTCTCCCCTTCTCTTTCGCTCCCCATCGGTGGAAAAATGTGGGGGGGCCCCGGGGGGGGGGGCCTTGGAGGAGGTTGCGCCTGTTTGACACCTGCGGGTCGACTATCAGACGGAGCTTCATGTCCCGTGTCTTTCTCTCTCTCTCTCTCTACATATAGCAATATGCATGCACGCATACATATATGTACGTGTATACATATAGATATATCACAACGCAGGAAAAACGAGACACGGGGAAAGAGAGAGAGGGAGAGGGGATAGAGAGAGATACATATATATACAGAGAGAGAGAGAGAGAGAACAAACAGAGAAATAACAATGATAATGCTGATATATTATAGAGAGAGAGAGAGAGAGAGAGAGAGAGAGAGAGAGAGAAAAAGAAAAAAAGAAAGAGAGAGTGAGAGGGACCCCCGCTTGCCGCCCCGGACGGCAGGCCGACGCGTTGGCTGGCAGCGGCGGCCCTCCGCCCCAGCACCAGCGCGCTGAGCGCAGAAAGGGGGGCGGGGCGCCAGCGCCGGCGGCGGCGACGACGACGGAGGAGGAGAAGGAGGAGAAGGAGGAGGAAGAGGAGGAGGAGAAGGAGGAGAAGGAGGAGGGAACAGGAGGAGGAGAAGGAGCAGGAGGAGGCGACGACGGCGGAGACGGCGACGACAACGACAACTGCGACGACGACGGCGGCGACGAGGCCGGCGGCGACGCCAGCGACGACGTCGGCGGCGATGCCGACGACGGCGACGCGGGCGACGGCGACGACGACGACGACGACGACAACG